TATATATATATATATGAATACATATTAATACATCTATATAACTAAGCAAGTGAGTAAAAAGCGCTGGGGAAAGGTGTCCCCATAGTACAGAAGAAGCTGCAGCAGGAGCATAAACATAAACATGACTACCTAGCCATGGCCTAGGAAATAAAGCTTAAGTTCATAGTTCCTGATTCCAATTTTTCATTGTAGTAGAAAATATAATTGAAAAATGAATACTCATCCAAAAATATAATTTCTAGATATCTAAGGTAAAGGTCTACCCAATATTAATCACCTTGGGAAACAAGTAGACTAACCATTGGGTTAGGTGATGTAGTGAGCTATGGAAGGGATGAAATTTAGCATCTAAAGACTCACAAGCAAAGATGGAAATGAAACTTGGTGATCTGGGCTGAGCTCTGCCTCCTTGGGTTTCCATGCTAAAGCCCCAGTTCCCATTACACAGCATGTGGCTGTATTGGTGAATAGGTCTGCTAAGAGGTGATCAGGTCCCAAGGTGGCCACTAGTGTGTACAGGAAACTCTGCAGGGACAGGAAGCAGCCAGCCACAGACGGGAGAGAAGTCTTAAAACACACACAGTGACTTTGCCATACCGTTTATGGCCTCCAGACTATGGCACTCTGTTACAGCAGCTCTCCTAAATGCTACATTTGTTGCTGGGTTTAGGGGTGGTTTCTTTGGGTTAGGCACTCAAAAGAGAAGGTATCTTCAAAAGTATTCCATAAAAATGAGATGAGTGAGTTCAGAACCATCCTTCCAGGTGTTCGGCTGCTGCCCTCACTTATCACTGAGCAGAATTTATGAGTATGCCTCGAAATGACAAGGTAATTCTGTTTTCCAATCCTCCCGTATGGGGGACAAATTATTAAATCAGTGCAATTGTCTCGCAGTTTCACATTTCTTCTACAAGAGAAGTCACCCTTTAGCAGAGCAGAGGTTTGATCTAGTGGCACACAGGAATTAAACACTGACATTCAGAACCATTACAGTCCCCAACCCTGATGGTGCCTTTTTCAAAAATAGGAGCACAGTGGCATTTACATCAGACCTTATGGTTTGGAACTTAAGTGTCCCTCCCAGAGCCCACAAGTTCAGTCCACCACGGGAGCACTGCTTTGCTTTAGCACTGATCCACATCAAGACGTCCTGCCTTCCCATCGGCCCAGGAACGAGAGCCCTCAATGGAGACCTCTGAGACGCTGAGCTGCGCTGGCCTGTCCTCCCTACATGCCAGCTCTTTCAGGATCCTGTCAGATGCCTGGCTAACACAGTGACTAGCGAGTCATCTCACTCCTCACTAGGATGTGAACACAGGAGGTTTCCCAGCCTTAGCATTTCCCTCCATCACACCTTCACTGTTAGAAAGGTATAGTGCACTCTGCAAGGTACTTTCAAACAGACAACTAAGGGAGAGCCGGACACCGAGAATCCTTATAAAGTCATGACTTCTCCTATGAGGTGTGGATCCCAGAGTCACAAACACAGCGGGTTCATGTGACCAAAGGTAACTGTCAGTCACCTGTAGGGACCGTTTTTTTTTTTTTTTTAAACTGCACATTCTTTTATTTTAAATTTGAAGAGTATTAAATTTAATTTCTTGAAATCCTAGTTAGCTATGCTCATCTACAGGACAATTGTTACCACTGCATTACTTTCTCCAGCTCTTTATCATTTACAATATTTATCAGTGTTCATACTTGAATCCTGTAACTGTGGTAAAATCCAAATACCACAAACCTTACCACTTTAAGTCCTTTTAAGAGCTAGCTGACTGGCAGTTGAGCAGTCCATACTACAGTGCTGTAAACTTCGCCTCTTGGAGGACTCAATCTCACACTGTCAACGGCTCTGTTCTCCCTACCCCCTCCCCATTAAGTCCACTTTACTTTGGGTCTGACCACTCTAGAAACCTCATATAAGTGAACACACACCTCAACTGTTTTTCAGGACTGACCTGTCTCCCTTTGCCTAATGCCCTCAAAGTTCCACTGTGTTGTATCATATTCAGAAGGCTGACTGCCCCTTCCTACGCAGAAGCGGGTGTGTTAGCTGCTGCTGCAAATGAGACTGGACCACTTCGAGACTCTGATCCCTCTTACACATGATAACCAAGAGGACTGTTTTGTTTTGGGTTGAGTTTTTAGGATTTTGGTTTGGTTTGGTTTTCATTTTTAAGACTGAGTTTCTCTGTGTAGCCCTGTATGTCTTGGAACTCACTTTATAGACCAGGCTGGCCTCCAACTCAGAGATCCACTTGCCTCTGCTTTCCAAGTGCTGGGATTTAACGTGTGCTCTCCCACGGCCCAACACAGATTTGCTTTCCAAGTGCTGGGATTAAACGTGCACTCTCCCATAGCCCAGCACAGATTTGCTTAACTATCTTTTCCACTGTCATTATTAACATTTTAACATTGTTCTTTCTGTTCTTTTACATTTCTTTTAGTAAATTTCCTAGGATGGCTGGCCAGTTCTAAGGATCTTCCTATCTCCATTCCTCTATTCCCTCTGACTTTCCTACCCCCACCTCTCTCTCTCTCTCTCTCTCTCTCTCTCTCTCTCTCTCTCTCTGTCTCTCTCTCTCTCTCTCTCACACACACACACACACACACACACACACACACACACACACACACACACCTTGCCCAGTAGTTTACATGACTATGAGGTTTCCAAAGTCTGGTCTTAATGCTTGTATGACAGCTGACCCACTGAGACATCCTCTCAGGCCTGTGTACTGTAAAGGAATAGAAAACTAGGTTTTGGAATTCTAATCAATGCTAAATACTAACAAGTACCATGTAGACTCAAAGGACTGTGTGACTTGGCTAGAACCATGTCCCCCAAGCCCCATGATTGCTACCTCTAACCCCTGCAACCTCCAAGTCCTAAACAGATCTGCTGTTCATCTTCTGCAGAGGCCAAGACTGCTTATTTAATGCTGACTAAGAAAGTATGGGGAGGAAACAGAAGAAATGCAGCCAAAGTGCACTAAACACTCTAGGGGTGACTGAGGGCAGAACTGAACTCACAAAGTCCGTTTCCAGTTTCCCCATTTCTTGCTTGTAGCTTCTCATTCTGTTGCTGTACATTCCTCGACTTTGGGGTGGTATTTCTCGAACTTCCAAGTCCATCTGTTCAAGCTAAAGTGGGGAGAGAAAAATATGAGCCACATTAGTATTCTTTATTTGCCCAAATGTTATGGCTAAAAGGACTGGACTCTAACCCCTCAGTGTAGAGCTGAGAAGGGACTGGACT